TCGAGCCACCTGTTGATTCGGTCGTTCTCCTGCTCTATTACGCAGCAGAGATGTGCCTGATACTGTAGCTACGTCGAAGGCTCTTCGAACAACCCACTGAAAGCTAGGACGACGTCTTCTAAAGTACAATCAATGCACTTTACATCTCGTCGGTTCAGAGTGAGAACAATGTCTAGTCTTACCCATTGAAATCGTCTTCCAAGCAAAACATCGATGGGCTGGCTGTATTATGAGGACAGACAACAGGGGGACAGTAAGAACTCTGGAATGGATTTTTTGCGAAGCAAAACGTCCTCGAGGGAGGCAACCAAGCAGAAGGACTAACGTATTTGTAACGCGGATGAACCAGTTGATTTCTTAGCTTAACAATTAATGATCTGGATCTTGCGACATCGCCGCCACGGTTTAATGCAACATCGTGGATGAAGCTGGCGAGAGACAGAAACGGATGAAAACAGTGCTGGGGAATGCACGACGAGTGAAGACAGACCATCTAGGTATCTAAGTAAGTATTTGCCTCCTCGCAGAATACCATGTAGCAATAAAGATACGTTGAATTTCTAAATGATGACGTAACGAATGTCGGTTGAGCAAGTGAGTAAAGATGACACTAATTGAAGAAATGTTACATAATTTCATGTGATTTTTTACTGGCGTTTGTTTCCATGCGTTTCAACAATTGTTTAACTACGATGCACAATTAAAGCTCTTTCTCTACCCCTCAGTGTATGCGTGGCATTTCTTCGAAACTTTTCATTTTGTTCGAACTATGAGCTGAATTAATAAAAGCTAGGACGACGGGAAACCGATCTCCATCACCAACTAGCGTTTGCTTTTGAATTTCGAATTTTAGGGTTCATATTGTTCCGTTTATTAAAAAGATGTGCTTTCCAGTAAGACTTCTCATGGTTTAATCAGGTTCGGTTACTCGCCTTCAAGCACACGCTGTCAAGACATCCAGGGAGATTTATAGGATATCAAGCAACCTTGTATTTTAAATCCTGTGTCGAAGGTATATCATCTTTTGCGTCCTTCACGAACACAAGCAAAACTTTCGTAGCGAAGTGTTTCTCTAGAATCAGCAAAAGGGCTTTCTCGAAGAGTATGTTGAGCTTTTGGTGTACACCGATGAACAAAGGAGGGAACAAAGCAATGACATACACTATATGATGACTTTCAAAGACTTTTCAAAGCGGAAATAATATGAGAAAATGGTGTTGGACTCGGTCCTTGTCGACGTGACGTTTCTCTCAGCTTGAAAGGAAACAAGATCAAATGAGGAAATATGATGAACAAGTTTTGTAGAGCGAGACAGGGCTTTACGAATTTGTATAACATTTGGGCAATATATAACAGTGAGGAGAGCGTTAGAGAAGCAGGAGAGATCATTTAACAACCTAATCTATATCAACAATATCTGGCAACACCCTGTAAAGACAGTGGTATAATCAGATCCGAAGGGCGCCTAAAGTCGCCATCATCTTACAAAGGAAGGATGTTTAGTTGGAGTGGCCATCCAAAAGTGAAGTGTTACGGTAGCTACAGCTTAACGCAAACTCCAGAACTATCTTCCGTATCTTTAAACACTATTCTGGAAGAG